TGCGTCCATCACCAGTAGACTAGCGCTAATCGGAGTCCGATTACCGGACTATTTGTAGGCGTAACATGCACATATGTCTGCGTGTGGTAACACATATGTAGTGGTGTCGGACTATCGTATCGAACACACCAAAAATGTTCTTCCGCCTTCGGTAGACACTGCCAGCACACGACTGACACCCCACAAATGCAGTGCGATTTGCGCTACCAGTTTGCCGATACCAGTAATGTTGGCTGCAGTCTCGACCACATATCTGTTGTTGGTAGCGATGGAGCACCTCCAGCTCGCAAGAATGTCGCAGGCTCGTGCTTAATACGACATCCCAAGAATTCAAGTTACGTCACAAGATACATCTGTGGGCGTACGAGACGCGACGCCTTCAGTTGTTTGAGCCGGAATCTTTATCACTCAGCGACTAAGGATATCTAACTGCCCTTCTTAAGCTTCATTGATACACTTAATGAAGATCTTCCTTCTCTTCGCTATTGCCATCATCAATGCTGTCCTCTGGAAAGGATGCAGCAGCAACAATAGAGGTGAGGCAAGCACTCGGGTCAACTCTTCATTGCCTCGCTTTAGGTGGTACAACCACTACGACCACACCAACTACTACACCTGCTGCTATCGCTACCACGACTCTAAGCCCCTCTCAAACAACCACTACCACTCTACCTCCGGGACCACCTCCAATTGGCACCTTCGTGCTCGACGACAACGTAGGCAGCTTTGGTCACTTTACTGGCAAGATCGTCACCTCGAATGCTGACCCTGATAGATTGATCATCACGGAGATGTAAGCTCACTAGGCGCCCTTCCTCACCTCTTCTTATATGCTGTTGTACCGTGTTCAACACCTTCATAGTCTTCCCTAGCTTATATCATTAAGAATTTTCAGGGTCATATTGACGGGGACAACACCGCCCAGTGAACTTTTCCGCAGCACCGGCAATGTACCGTTCCACACAGAAGGATCGAGAGTTGTTCTTGATGACCTCAACTCCTTCCCACCCATCGCACATGTCGCCCTTGATGGTAAGCCTCGGCAACACCATAGTCGGACCAGATTTGTGGCTGTCCATTTGAACCACTCAGCGTCGGGTAGTTCATCGAATTACCCCTCGTCAGGTGCCATCATCACATACGAATCTTCTGATGACATCCAGATCAACATTACTCGACCAGTTAGCATGTCAATCAGACTGCATCGCGCCCCAGCGCGGAGGCTCATGAGGGCTCCCTGGGCGCCGTTCATCTAGTTCCATAGAGATTTTCTTCACGTCGCCAGAATGTAATCCTCATCTTTGGCACCTAAACCTCTCGAGGTTACTTTTTTTTACGAGTTTTGAAGTTATCAAATCTTTCGGGGGGTATCTTAAGACTCAATCAAGTTGTGTTTGAGTTTGGTAGTTGACCAGAGCAAGGCAGTTTTGGAGTTGAGGAATACATTGAAGAGTGTACCGAAACCCGACTTTCTTCCCGTGTTTCGTCGTGCTTTCCTTGGTGTCATATTCTCTACTGCAGCGCAGCAGTTGCCCGTTAGTATTGAAGTATTCAACCGCAGGGAGTGATGACCGATGTGTCTACTCCATGGCGCGACGAGATGGTAGCGGTTGAGGAATTTTTCAGAGTTAGTTGCGGCTCTGAACCAGACTGAAGCGCTTTGATGCTGACACATGGGAGCATTGCAGAATAGCACCTTTGTATTTCACTACAGTTAGTAGCATGATGCGATTCAATGATACCACACTCAATGGAACTCGACGACGATGTATCCTTGCGGCCTCTGTCATCACCGGCGCTCTCATCACGCTAGCATTCATTCCCCGTCAGAACGGCCTAGCCAGCTCTCTCAACCTTACGCTAGGAATACCAGGGATCTTCAAATGGGCGAGCCAGGAGGATCCAAAAAATTCGAGCATTACAGTGAGAGATCGACTTATGTCACCTGTGCGATCGAACCGCTCTAGAACTTGTAGGAAAGAACTTTTAGTAGAAATTGTCCGTATTTCCGTCATTTAGATTTCGAAGAACGAACCACAAACACTTCTCGTGGAGTTGCCAAGCACATCTACTCTGAATTCATCCACGCAGTCCGCTTACAGATATCATCCCCCGCTGGACAGGGAGGTTCGGCTCTCCCATACCCTTCATTGCTCGAGCCTGAGAGACAGTATTGGCTGAATTACAGCCCAACCGCTATCACGCAGGGAGAAGGGGACAACGGAGGGAAAGTGGGACAAACCGGAATACACAGTGTTTGTACAATCGAGCAACTCCAATAATGAATCTGATAGTCCAACTGCGAGCTATAATAACACCTAATGTGAATTTAGGCTTAGTCGCTTTAGTCTTATCTAATCATCGAGTACATTTCCGCTAGGTGCGGGTCGATCTCCCATCCCAAATGTTCCCCGATTGGAACGGAGAAGCATATCTGAGCACGTTCTACGGTGGAGATATAGAACGAAGTTTCTGGTCCAACACCGGCGTTCTACACCGATCACAACAGGGCTATTGCAAGTTGGTTGAGGTGGAGACTGCCCTACGATCAGGCGCCCAGGTATGCTCCATCAGGAGACGAACAGATCACGCTGTATAGCGATGGTCTCTTTGACTGTCAGACGGTGCGCCTCCTCTTCATTGGCTGCTCGATGTCACAAGGGGTGAATGCTTGTGGGAAAACCTCAAGAATAGGCATTTGCCCAGGCTGTGAGGAGCACCGCTGGAAATTCCTCTGTGTTGTGACTTTGGATACCCGAACTGAGTGGGGATTAAGTTCGTCAGGCCATATTGGCGAGGACTCATCAACAAAGCTGAACGGTACTTGCAGCAGCTTTGAAGGCTGCGTTCGATCGGGGAAGTATGACCGAAACTACTGTGGTTGTTGTAGCTGGATATCACTATGGTATAGATGGTTGAAGTAACCCACTCAAGAGAGCAATGCACGTCGAGGCTCTTCCATCTCAGAATGCGATATCCTGAGGCGGACATCCGTCCACACAAGGTCGGTTGCAAGCGAGGATGCAACGCTGTAGTCGCAGCGAAGAGTCTCAATAGTGACCTTCGCAATGACGGTTTATGGCCTCTGCGATCTACCGACTTGGTAGTCGTTGACCTGTCTGCCTGTGAATTGGTGGCCGATGGTGTGAAGCTCGATGACTCTTACAGCAAAGCTCAGATAATGACAATGCAGAAACTGGCTCCTGCAGCGGTTATTCTAGCCCTGCATGCACCGAAACAAATCCCAGGGTTCTCTAACTTTGGTCTTGAGAGGCTCTATCGGGCAACGGCTGAGACTACCGATATTCCGCTCTGGGCATGGCAGATCATCGCTGAGAAAATGGATACTCGATTAGCCCGAACCGGACCGGCTTCGTGGCCGCATCCTCATTGGCCACTTCACTTCCTCATTGCTGACTTCATGGCAATACTTTGGAAGTCAGAACTCGCGGCTCGAGACAGCGCATGCGATCACTCAGCCGTCACAGCGCAGAATACCTCGTCCACTGCACATTCGTTAGACAGTCAAACGAAATCATCGCAGTCTAACTTAGACTGCGATGACCTCCCTCCTGAGCGAGTTACAGTTTTTAGCGCAGACGCTCTGTTGCAGTATATTCGCGATAGCACGGCTGGTCTGGGTTGGGGTACAAACGGCGGTCGTGTTAGTCAAACTGGAGACAGTTGGGAATTGTGAGAGTTTTCAGCTCTAATTTGCGGATATTCCGTTCCTCAGGATCGAGGAGAGACCCGACAAACCAGGTTGGATTGCTTCCACTCCCCAAGGAGGCAGCTCTCTGGAGTTCACTATGACCAACCACAGTCGGTTACAATCATTTCAGAATATTGCAAGGCTTCGTCGATTCCGCTGGCAGATTCTTCTGCCCTACGAATAGAAGTATTCTATCTGAAAAGCTACGATAAACGGGGAGCTGTTGAGGTTCGGCTCTGCGACGATAATTCTACTGGAATAAGTATTGACAGTCTTTGGGATGCTAGAGTGTCCCTACTGCAAATAGAATCTTCTGTATGGAACGCCACGGCAGCTTGCGGTACGACTTCGGCCTTGCCGGTCCACTAGTGTTTCATTAGGCGAGGCCCGCGAGAGAGTCGTCAGGGTTTCCCTCTTGCCCAATACAACCCGGGTTGGTAACACATTCAAGATCAGCAAAGTGATGGTGTGCGGACTATGACCATGACCCGTCATTGCTATCATTGTTTCGTTGCATGCGAGTTCAAAGTTCTACGCGTCGACGACCAGCCAGTGGAATCACGAGTCAACTAACGCGTTGAGCCCCCATGACGTCGGGCCCCCAATCCGAACTCGCTCCTCCGTATAGACAAACACCACAACTTTATCATTAAAGGAACTTCTCATAACAAGCTCCTGCATAATTCGCTGACACATTCACGGAGGGTTGGTATGAACGAATAGGACACTATGGTTCTGTATGAGGTCGGCCAGGGGACTATCTGGGTATCAGAACCTTGGACTCCCACGTTCCGAAACCGCGTACCGGTATCTTACGTATCTCTATAACATAGGACTCCTACGATAGAGAAAGATATAATTCCAATAAATGAGGTTGAAGTAGACATATCATTTGGAATGGATTACTGTGATCAATTCGTAGTTAAATATCGAAACACGAGCTTCGGATTTGAGAAATTCAATGACATTTACATACTGAGTGTACAGAGTATAACTATAATGGAACTAAAGAAAGTACAGATGGACCCAAAGGCGGGATAATCAAGGCTAGCGATCTCGAAGCCACCAGTAAAGACGGGACAGGGAGTATAGCATAAGTTGGGTTGAGTTACCGCCAATTGTGTGAGCTAAGAAATAGTGAAGACAATGGACCAGCGACAAGAGTGACCCACCACATGCCCCCTTCTTATTTTGGGAGCACGAAGTCCAGCAAAGCGACAAAATTCGAAGCCGTTCGGTTGAATTTTAGTTTTTGCCTTCGCATTGGACGGGGCAACCTTTGTAGGCGATTGTGAAGCTTTTTGAGTTGTTGTGTTTGCTTCAATTAGAACTTAGCTATCTTTATTTAGTTGAGTTACGAATTTGGCTAGCATCATATGCGTTATTATCGACGGATGTGTGAGACAGAGCTCGCTTAGGCGTCAAAGATAAGGGGTGTAAGCTTGGATAAGCGTCACATTTAACGAACGAACATGACGAAAACTCGGTTAGGCGTCATAGATAACGGGCATGCATGACGAATAGTCGATTAAGCGTTACAAGGGGGTCCTCAGAGGACCCCGGAGCCAGGAACATAACGAGGGGAGGAGCTTCGGAGTCTTAGACGGTTCGTCAGATGAGGGTGAAGGTCAGAAAGAAGGAAGAATGGCGATGGTCCATCGTCGATGGAGCGAAGCGATGAATGCTTCCATACCCTCTTGCGTATGGAAGGCCATCCATCAATGACGGTATCCTCGACTCGATAAGATCGAGCGCATCCTCGCCGTGGCACACTTGATAAGTTGCATTTATCAAGTCCTTCTAATGTGAGAGATACTGGGTGAGAAAATCTATAAGCACTGATGAAATTCAACCGTCTTTTATTCCTGCTGCTTGTCGTCGACAAATTTCTATGATCGACAAGTTGTCGATCATTACCTCTGTTCCGTCAACATGACCATGTGGCGAACCAGTCCATTACCAAGGTGAATTGATGTTCGTGATTAAACTTCCAAGAAATGAGGGTGAGTAAGACCATCTGCGATCAGGTTCGGTTCCAAAGCAGTACCAACTGATCGACTTACTGACTGGCTGCTATCAAATTAAGTGGGGGTGCGCCTGTCGTATATCCCTCTGGCTACTCTAAGCTCTGAACCAAACACAACTTCGAACCGTGAGATACTTGAATGATAGTGCTCAACCCCTTGTACTCCACAATACACGTGCGTTAACCGCGTGCTCAAGGGCCTAATGAATAGGCTTTATTGCGTTGGCGAACTCAAAGAAGGGCATACGTATCCATCGATCGCAAAAAATACGAAAAATAACGATAAGGTCTTAAAAAGTGCTACCAAGATTGATCGCTAAAGAGATCTATCAACCTGCTTTCAGCAGTCGAGTAGCTAAATCCCCAGACACACCATACGTTCGAGGCGCATAGTCAGAGACGCAACGCGTTGCAACTTATGCGCGATGCAGTGTGACAGAGATATTAACTGGTTGGGTAATGTTGAACTGAATGTCATCTGGGGGCAGGTACGTGATGATAGCATCTGAAAAGAAACTCTCATATCAATAACTCAATCGTTGAATGCTTTAACTGATGTAGAACAATTCGCTCATTTCCACGAATAAAAGAACGCCACACCGAAAATATTTGATAGGTATTTCCGAGGCCTACTAGCAACAATAGCTTTGGCGAAAGCGGGAAATGCGCTGAAATCATCCAGGACAACTCTGGCGCCTTTCATGTGGAACGGCACATTCTTGGTGGTATTAATTACAACCGAGGGAGGTGTAGACGGGACCTCCATGAGCCTGAGATAATATCATTGCTGCAGCTGAGGCAGATAGCACAGTGTACCAGAGATATCACCAGATAATGAGTATTGGAGACGAAAGAAAAGCTACGACACAATGGATGGATGACTCACAGCTTTGTAATGACCAAATTGTTCGGGTCGGCATCCGAGGATACTAGCCTTCCGACTAGTCGGCCCAGAACCGGAATGCTGGCATTGAGCAGGAATGTGCCAATCGGGGCTAGTCGCGGAGGAAGAGTCGGTCCACCAGTTGTAGTAGCCGGGCCGGCTGTAGTAGTAGTAGCAGCTGTAGTAGTGGGAGCAGCTGTAGTAGTAGTAGCAGCTGTAGTAGTAGGAGCAGCTGTAGTAGTAGGAGCAGCTGTAGTAGCCGGGGCGGCTGTAGTGGCCGGGGCGGCTGTAGTAGCCGGACGGGCTGTAGTAGCCGGACGAACTGTGGTGGTACCTAAAACTAAAGGTCCGAGTGCTGTAGCCGAGAACGGAGCATACTTTTGCTGCTGCATCCTTCCCAGAGGACAGCATAGATGATGGCGACAGCGAAGGTGAAGAAGATTTTCATTGATGATACCAGCAAAGCTGCAACAACATAACTCGGAGCCTCAAGATCTCTCCCTAGCCAACGATGACTCCAGTTCAGTGGTGCTAGCAGCATCCAAACACCCAGTTGCTTTCCGTGATCGCTGTGTTCATGGCACATGCATGCCTTACACACACGTGCATTGTGCGACATAACTCGGGTTCTCACGTTTCCGGGATTTTGGGTAAGCCTAGCAAGCTCGGATGCCAACCCGAACAATTTGGCCATTACCGAACTGTGGGGCATCCATAGACGTAGCTATCTTTCTCTGTCTTCAACCCTCCTTATCGGGTGATATCTTTGGTATACACTTCGCTTACTGGTCCGACAGTTGTCAAAAAGTGGTCCGCCTGTAGACAAAGCTTGTACAGAGGGTTGCGTGAGGGGAATCGCGGGCCTTCGGCCCGCTATAAATGCCAGTTGTTATTGTTGTTGTTGTTGGATGGCCAGTCGCTAGTTGGTGGGGTAAGGTCCTATCAACCTTCCTCTCTCCGCCCCTCTTTTTTTACTTTTGTTTTTATAATCATAGTACATGGTAAATTGTCAATGGTATGGCTTGCGTGTAACTACGCAGCGGCTTGCCCTCGGTCTACTCTGCCCCCTGTTCTCGCCTCCACCATCGGCCAGACGTCTTTCAGGAAACTCATGAGGGCCTTCAGGCTTCGCCTCCATTTCAGAAAGCCTCCCAGCCTGTTGGGCATCCTCTCAGGGTGTCTGAGAAACTTTCCACAGAAACTTTCACAGAAAATTTCCGTGAAAGTTTCCAAATTTTTCCGCGTGTGAAATTTTTCAGGAAACTTTTGCTGAGTGTGCATTTTCGATGTTAGAGACCTTTTATTCATCTCATACAGCCTCATGATTGTTAGAATGAAAGAGTCGCTCAGCTAATCTGACCCAGCATGTCTCGAATAAAGGAAATACCTCGCTTCAGCTTAAAACGTCAAGTACTGGGCGGAGAATCTCGATTTAGCCCGACCTTTTAGAGAATAATTGTTTCACACTAGATTACTCAGTATGTCTTCCATAGGTGGGCAGTCTTTCGCGGGCCCTGGCCAGGCGAGACAGTCAGGGACTCTGATCCAACGTGGAATGGCAATGACATTACCATTGTCAGCTGATGATCGGCTCGAAATGAGCCGCTCAATGTATATTCTACACTGAGCCATCCCAACTTCTACAATATAGAATCTTTCCAATGAAAGTTTCAATGGAAGCTCCCACTTCAAGGCCTTTCCAAAGGGAGTCTACTGATTTCAAACTAAGTAGTCCTCCGAATCTAAGCTAGGGTGGAATACGATGATCTAGAATCCCGTCATGTGCAGCGCGGCGCCACTGGCGTCATGATGCAGCATAAAGGAGTAATCGAACGAGTTACTGTTGACGGTCGCCGGTATATGAATTCGCCCGCACATGTGACCGACACGATCCGCGGCAAAGTTCGTAATAGTTGATTTAGCAAACAGGAAGTTCTCAAATGCAATATGATGCCTACGGAGGCTTGCAAGAATGAATTGTGTCAACGCATTTGCTCTTAATTTCGCGAATATCCCTTCCCCACCAATTGTGAAAATTTCCGAAACTTTCGGAAAAATTCCCGGAAAGTTTCCTCTGAAACTTTCCGGCGTTTTGGAACCCCTTTTCCGACACCCTGCATCCTCTCGCCCTCCAGTTTCCTCTTCAGCCGCGTCCTATGCGGGGCAAATCTTGAGCATACATATATAAGGTGCATCTCATCCTCCAGAGGGTGGGCGCAGAATCTGAACGCCTTAGTCAATCCCCTCTCGATCTTCGACCATTGTCTCCTCGTGCTCGAGTGCCTGCTCATCACCTCCATTAGCCTGCACGTCTCTACGGGCGCCAGACCCGCTCCTTTAATAATCCCTATCTGTTTGGGTCCTAGTTAACCCCAGTCCAGCGCACCCTGAGCTTCCCGCAATTTCTTGCCCAAGCCTCATCTCCCCTCGAGGCAAATTTCCGATCTATCATCTCCTTCGTATGCACCCAAGGACTGCCGCACCCAGCGGCTTCCCTCTCCTC